GAAGGATACACACTCAACATGTACCCTTGATGGTTCCACCTCAGCAACAAGGAAAAGTACAGTTTGTTTATTTATTTTTTGTTTATTTCTTTCTGAGAGCATAAAGATTGATGCCTAGCCTATAGAGAAAATCTTCAGATAAACAGTGAGTGTTCTTCCAAAAAAAAAAGTGCTTAAGGAGCCTTTAATCAGACTGGAATGCAGCAAAATGTCTTTAAATCAACTGAGCCTTGGGTATGAAGAATCGCGTGCAACACCAGTGTGTGAGCATGTGTGGAAATCTAACACTGGGCTTTTTTTTGGTTGAATGAATGAATGAATGAATGAATGAATGCAATACCAGTTCTCCAGCACTTCAGGCAAAAACCACAAATATCGATTCAAGTCAAATGCAGGCCAAAATAAAGATTAAACAGCACAGCAAGAAGGCTCGTGCATGAGGTCAGACACATGTTCTCCCACACTGTTCTGCACACACACACTTCTCTCACCTTCAACACCACACCACACCACACCAGAGCAGACCAGAGCACCTTTCTGTTTCTGTCTGTCAGCCTGCTGTAACTTCCTGCAGGACAGCTCGTGAGAGAAGCCATGTCGCACAGTATCATAATGAAGAGTAATAACTGTAATAATGCAAATCTCCTTGAGGAACAGAGGAGAAGGCACGCTGTGCTCAGAAACCCTATGCGCTCGTGCATAATAATAAAGATAAACACCCCCCAATAGTATGCAATGATCAGAAGCATGGATGCTTGATTAAAATGTGCTTTTTATAAAAGCACGCGCGTTTTACCTCACACGGCAGGGAGGCTAACATCAGCAGGAGGAACATGGCACTGAAGAGGTTCATTCTTCCCCCAAGCGGCAGCTCTCTCCTCTTCTCTCCTCTCCTCTCCTCTCCTCTCCTTTCCTCTCCTCTCCTCCTCTCCTCCTTGTTTTTTCTCAGCGAGCCCCCGGTTCCGACACAGCCCGGTTTCTCTGCACGATCCGGCGCGCGACAATCCTCATCACCGGTGGTGCGGTGCGCGCGCAAGGCTGTAGTCCGTCTCGTTAGCGCGGCGCGTGATGCTTCCTCTATTCGTATGCGCTCCCTCTCTCTCTCTCTCTCTCTCTCTCTCTCTCTCTGTCTCTCTCTCTCTCTGTCTTCTACGTGAGGACCGCCGGCGGAAAGGTCAGTGCTGGCGCGCGCGCGCCCCCGGCGCTTCCCGTTTTACGGTCAAGCAGAAGTGTGACGAAGGAGAAGCGCAGGATGAATAAGAGGAGGAGGAGGAGGAGGAAGAGGAGGACAGAGAGAGATGGAGAGATGGACAGGACTGCTGGAGTCGCAGAGGAGAGGTGAGCTTATGAGCATCTGACGTGAAGAGAAAGACAGAGAGAGAGAGAGAGAGAGAGAGAGAGAGAGAGAGAGATGACTTTGATGAATGACCCTTCACACGTGAGAGCTTCATGCTTAATTGTCTCATCTGTCACTTAGGAGGGAAATCAGGAAAATCCAAATAAATTGTTGTCCCACATACAAAATTTGCAGTTTGTTCCACAAGTAACACTTACACAACAATCACACACACACACACACACACACACACACATCACGTGTAATAAATAAATCACATGTGAATATATAGTAAATGTATTATGTGTGAAATAACATCATAAAAATCATATATGAAAATAAATGAATTGTGTAAAAGTTGCATGTGAAAGTAAATGAATCATGTATCAACATGATTCATAAACATGATTCATGAAACATCTAAATAAATTAATGATGTATAAAAATCAGTTGAAATTAAATGAATCATGTAAATATGTAAATATGACTCATAAACATGATTCATAAAACATCATGAATGATGAAAAATGAATGAATAATGTGTGAAAATCACACATGAACATAACTGAATCGTGGAAAAATCATGCGAAAATAAATAAATGATTTGCACACAAGATTCAAAAAACATTAAAATAAATGAATGCTGTCTAAAAATCACATGTGAACATAAATGAATCATGTAAAAATCATGTGAAAATTAATGAATCATGTAAAAATCATGTGAAAATTAATGAATCATGTGTAATAATCACATATGAAAATAAATGAATCGTATGTGAAAATAAATGAGTAATGTGTAAAAAATACACGTGAAATCGCATGCAAAAATCATATAAAAATAAATTAATCATATGTCAATATAAATATAAATATGAATCATATATAAAAATCACATCATATGTGTCACCTTCCTTTTTTGTCATTAAACAGTTTAACGGCTCATATGTGACCACAGTAGTGCTCTGGTGCTTCTCCTTTCTTTAAATCTGCCTCATCGTTTTCTTTCTTTGCTTCTACAACTATAAATGGATAAAATGTACACCGTGTTCATTAATAAATAAAAATTGTAATCATTGGCCAATAGCTGTGGTACAAGAGAAATAAAACACTTTGGGACATGCAGTTATTGGAAAAGAAATAACTGGATAGTGGTAATGGGAACTCCACTTTGTGTAGGAGAGTTGTTGATTATTTTCCTATAACATCACTCCCACGTGTGTTTTATTCCTTACATATGATGAGTTGTACAAATTGTGAGATGCGTTGATTCCCTTTTCAATTTCATCACTAATGTCGTACTTCAAAGAAATAAAGCGCACCATTTTTTTATTTGTAATTGAGAATTCATTTTCATTCCAAGATGACATCTGTCCTTCTGGTAATGGCTGCACGTCGGCTACTCTACTTTCCTCTCACTCCTTTATTGCAGCACTGTTACATTCATTTGTTCAGCCAACACCAAAAAAAATCCAGGCAGGGAGAGCTGGAGAGAGAAATATTGAAGCGAGAAATATTGAGTGTGCAAGCAATACAGAGTGAGTGAGAAAGAAAGAAGCAGACCAAGAGTGCGTATGTGTGTGGTAGGTCTCTGATCATCCTGTTTTTTACAGTCTGGAATATTTTTTTTTTTTACCTGCAGGCATTCTGAATAAAATAACAGCGGGCCATGTCCACCTAGCACGTTTTGCTGAATTATGTTCAGCAGACAATATCATCTCATGTACTAAGTACCATTCCTTACCATTTTAACCTTAGTGCAGTTGTAAGCAGGGATGTGATACGTAGGAATCATGCTATTGGCTCAATATGTCATCCTTTTAACAAAACTGTAGTGATTAGAACCTGACTTCCATGAAAAATGTGTACAGATATGACAAGGTCATACAGTGAGTGGTGTGTGCAGGGTTTTAGACATAGGGTGCCAAAGGATGGGGCAAAGGGACTCTAAGGTGAGGCACCAGCTAATGAATCCTAATTAAAATGAATGGCCAGATAATGACATTACTTTATTTGCTCTGTAATGGTGTACGTAATGGACGTGGTTAAAATACCTAAAACACTACAGTAATAACTGTGATAAAGACAAAAAGGAGTATCAGATCCAACAGCAGGTTTTATTTCAAATGTTTAAAAGTAAACAGCCACACACCAAACTGTGAAAACCATGAGCCAAGATCAAAAACATGAGAGTACAGCTCGATAAGCCAGACCATGACAAAATTCCTGCAATGGACTGGCATCCAAATGGCCTGGCATCCCGTCCAGGGTGTATTCCTGCCTCATGCCTGGTATTCCCGGTATAGGCTCCACATCCATCAGAACTCTAACCAGTTATAAAGTGGTTACTGGAGGAAATTATGAACTACTATTAGTGGACTGGATAAGAGAAGAGTTTTACAAGCCTTTGAAAATTTTTTCAGGTATGCAGATGAGCTGCCGTGTTCAGATTTTAGTACTCACTTTGTATTCATTTTACAAAACTGCACTGCAAGGGGGAAAAATCTACTGCACTTTCTGTAATTTGTTTCATACGATTTGCATAAAAAAGACAGCAATGACCATTAACAGCATTAAAAAAATACTTTTATCCAAAGTGACTTAGCTGAGGATTATGGGTCTAGCTAAAAGCAGTGTTCAATCCCTTGTCATCTCAAGATTGGACTCCTGCAACTCACCTCTGGCAGATCTGCAACTGATCCAGAATGCAGCAGCACAACTTGTTTTAAATATGCCCAAGTTCTCCAACATCACCCTGTTGCTGCCTTCCCTCCAATGAAGTCCATTTCACACCATGATGCTTGCCTTCAAACCCCCATCAACCCAAAGGTACGTTCCCTTCAAGCCTCTAGTAGGACTCGACTTGATCCACCATCTTTCAAGGTACAAGGAAGACCTGTATCAAGACTCCTCTCTGTCCCCAGGTGGTGGAATGAACTTCCCGCGGCTGTGCAAACAGCTGCGTCACCTGACCCACCTCTTCCACAAGCACCGTGATTTCGCCAAGCTCACAAACCTTGAATTGTGTGTTTTTCTTGCTGTACTAACTTGCTGTATTAACTTGTTGTTGTAACTTCATGTGAAAACTGTAATGAATTTCCTGGTTGCACAATTGCACTATTTGTCCATGTAGTGCACAGTTATAGAAGAGAATTATTTATAATTGCACTATCCGTTGTCACCCAGATGAGGATGGGTTCCCTTTTGAGTCTGGTTCCTCTCAAGGTTTCTTCCTTATATAGTCTCAGGGAGTTTTTCCTTGCCACTGTCGCCTCTGGCTTGCTCATTAGGGATAAATTCATAGGGATAAATTCAGCAGTTCTGTAAGTCACTCTGAATAAGGGCATCTTCCAAATGCTAAATGTAAATTAAGAGTAAGAGTGGCAGCTTGGTGGTTCTGGGATTTGAAATCACAACCTTTTGATCAGTAGTCAAAAGCCTTAACTACTGAGTTGCCACTGCCCTTATATACCCATACATTTATATACCACAATTAATCAAGAATGGAAATAGAATGTGACAAACAATTAGCATTCAGCTGACAGTACCCTTTGTTATATGGGAGGGGAATTCCACAGATGCAATTGTGACAATGATTTACAATTGGCTGACACTTCTATCCAAAGCAATTTACATTTCAGACAGGACACTATTGAGCAGTTGAGGGTTAAGATGCTGGGATTTGAACTCACAACTTCTGATTGGTAAGCCAAAGCCTTAACCACTGAGCATCTACATCCCCAACACAAACTACATGAATTGTTGTAGAGAGTTTATAACTCTTATAAAAGGTTATAAACCTTTCAGAGATGTGATTTCTGGATCTCCAGGGTTTGAGCCTGAACTCGGATTACTGTCTGTCCTGAGTTCTCTATGTTCTTCCTGTGTGGGATTCATGGGATTCATCCGGGTTCTCCAATATGTTCCCACCTTCCAAAAACATTCAGTTAGGTGGATTGGCCACTCTAAATTGATGTTTGTGATGCCCTGTGATGGACTGTTTCCTCATCCAGGGTGTATTTCTGCCTTACATCCAATATTCCTGGAATCTCTGGTTCCACCCCAATCTGAACTAAGATAAAGTGCTTGCTGAAGGAAATTATGAACTACTATTAGACTAGATTAAAGGTTCCCAACCCTTATCCTGGAGAACCCCTTGTCTTGCATATTTTAGTCTTTTCCTGCTCTAACACACCCACTTTAAATCAGCAAGGGCTGGTAAATAGCTGATTAATTGGATCATGTGTGTTAGAGCAGGAAAAAATGTGTAGGGCAGGGTGTAATTCAGGATCAGGGTTGGAAACCTGTGGACTGAAGAGATTTAACCTACAAGAAAGCCTTCAGAAATATTCAGTCCTTAAGATTAGCTGCAGTGTTTTACAAAACTGCACTGTGAGGAGGAACAAAATCTACCACACCCTCTGAAATGCGTTTTCACAGTGGTCAAGGCCTACAAGAGAACACACACTGAATTCACTCATTCTGCATATTTTAGATCTGCTGCTTCATCGCGCAGTCTCGCTGAACAAAAAAGACTGGAGAAAAAGTATTGTGTATTCTTCTGGGCATAGAGCCAAACAGCATGGCTCTACTCTCTCTCTCTCTCTCTCTCTCTCTCTCTCTCTCTCTCTCTCTCTTCCCCCCCTCCTGTCTTCCTCTGTCTCTGTCTCTGTTTTTGCACACTTGGTTGCACCCTCTGAAGAGGACATGGAGCTGAAGTATCAGTTCTTTCTTCTCCAGATCCCTAAAGGTGGAGTCTGTTCTCCTTTTATACAGTCAGTGCTGCAAGATGCCACTGCTCACTTGGTCTTGTTCTGTGTGTGTGTGTGTGTGTGTGTGTGTGTGCTTTTGAGATGATTCAAGTCAAATTCATTGTGATTCAATTCATGTACCTCTATACAGTGGCATTGAATATCAGGCCTGCAAGACAATACAGAGGCACAGAATTGCGCAAATAGTGTGACAAGCTTAGGACAAGATAAATTACAGACAAATGCAGCACAATACAATACATACTTACATTTACATTTACATTTACAGTCATTCGATATGCAGATGCTTTTATCCACTCACTGGTGAGGTGTAATACAATACAAGTGTGACTGAACAACTTTTGATCTTGTGGTGTCCATGGTTTGCTTTTTTATTTTAAACAACAACGTGTTGGTCAATTTCCACTTTGAGTAACAGTTTCCTACATTACCCACAATGCAGTTGGACTACCTGCTGATAATGATGCAGTGGGCTTTAGCCTTCGAATCATCTCTACATAGTCCTTTAGTTTGCCTAGCTCTCTCACCTCCTCATCTGTACGCTCTGCTCAAACACATCAGCTTCCAAAGCTCCAACTTTCACACTAATACCACCGTCAACACCATCGCACTCAAAACATCATCAAAACGGTGAATCAGCTTCAGCTGCATGGTAACAAGCTCCTCCCATTAATTATTTGCATCACAAGCGTATGACATGGCTACAGTTTACTCACATATACGTCTAGTTTACATAAAGCACATCATAATGTATGCAGGTGTTGAGATAATAAGGTAAAAAAAAAAGGCAGGAACCCAGCAGACTATCGTTATTCAAGATCGGAGGAAAGAAGTAAAAATGGAGAAGGAAGTTGAGTTAGAGGAGCTCGTGTCTGAGACCGCTGTAAAAAAAAAAAAATAAATAAATAAATAAAACACGTTTCAGCAGAAGAAAAGAATGGTGCAATAGTTTCCCTTTTGCAATCTTTTGTTTTTACTGAAATTAATGGCATCATATACTGTAGGTGTAATATAGACAGTTATGTCTGTTTTTAATAAAGCATGTAGTTATGTGTTTTTTATTTATTTTAGAAAATGAAAAGGTCAGACTTATCCGAATCCAGATTTAATTAAAGAGTCATTTATAAATTTGGGCAAGCCAAGTTTCCATTGTGAGCAAATAGTCCATATAAATAAAATGCTGAAAGAAATTAATCAAACACTGAAAAGCAAACGACCAAAATAAATAAACAAACTGCTGGTGTGTTTTAATCACTGAAAGTAGGAGAAATGTAAAAAAAGACAGGCAATGATCTCCAAGATGTCCAGCCCATCTGCTCAACACTCCCTATCCAGGTCAGCGCTTTATGTACGCAAATGTGCCTATTACTCAAATGAAGGTCTAATAAGCTGATAAAGATTCACGTCTACGCCTCTGAGTCACATTTAACAAATTGACAATAAACCTCATTACCTCTATTTTATTAAAATGTTCCTGCATTGGCAATTGTGATTATCAACATTATTTCTGTTGGTATTAGTTATAGACTACTGCTCTGCTATACTTGCTATAATTATTTATAGTACTGATATTAATTTTCACTGTTTAACTGTTTAAAACTGAGCATTTTTAAGGTTGTTAAAATGTTATGATAGAATTTTTGTGCAACCAAAAAATAAGGAAAGTGTGAGTGAAATTTGCATATGCATTTTACAGTCAGATTTGACCGTATGAGACTTTGATGAATAAGGGCCATTGAGCTGTTGCTACTTACTAAATGCTACTTGATCATACAGAAAGATCAGGTTCTGTGCATTCAGGAGTGTGCATTTGACATTTGCTCAAAAATCAACTTTCGGAGTCTCTGCACCTAAATACTGCACATATAAAGTCACCCTGAACTGAAAATGTGTTTTTATGAATAAATCCTGTCAGGGGAAGATATTTGAGGTGTCTCACACATGTCTTACATGCATTCATCTTGCTCACACTGTATATTACGTTTCCAAATATGGCAGCGGAAAAGACAACAAGAATGAGGAATTTTTCATGCCACTGTAGATTTTGTAAATATAATTAAAGTGCACACATGTAGCCATAAAATATTTTTTAAAAAATGTCATTTATTTCTTAGACAAAAAAACAAAAAAAAGTACCAAATAGGTCAGTTTTGTTTTCTTCTACTTTGTGCAGCAGTATCTCAGCGTCATTGTAGGTGAAGTTCATCTTCTTAGACCGCAAAAAGCAGCGCCATGAGCAGGATACAGGCTTTATAAAGGGAACTTGTTTGCCATATACGGTGATTTGGGGCGCTTTCTTATGCAAATGAGCAAAGAAATTTGGGGTGGTTCCTTATGCAAATGAGCAAAGGAATTTAGAATGTATAGGATGTATCAATGTCCATTGATAATGGATATAAAATATCAATAAAATATTGAAGCCAATCACATTTCAATATGCAAAGACATATATTCGGTTACTATGTCACCCTAGCTGTAGAGTGGGGTAGATTTTGGGGTTGAACCTCCCTGAAATATTTTAGGACAGTTCCAAATGTTGACTCTTGTGTGTTTTTTAACATAACACACAAATAGTACCACTGATTGTATACGTCCATGTTAAATAACAGTTTTGTGCAGTAATTGTGCTATAATGATGTTCACAAACAGTCAAAGATGCCATCATAACGATTCCATATTTAACCTCCCAAACATCAAATGAACACGTCCATTAGTTTTTATCTTTATTGATATTTTATTGGCTACCAGCTGCTATGGTGAGTAACAGAATGAACCAATTGGAATCATGCATTTTTTCAACCGATGAAGTACCACAGGAAGAGAATAAAGTCTGATTTTATAAAATATAAAATCTCATTTAATATAAAATATAAAATCTCATTTTCCTCATTTTCAGTGGAACTCTCATAAAGGTATTTTATAGCAATGTTATGAATATGACATGATTGGTTGATGGTAGATTGTGCGCCTTTAATAATTAAATTTATTAAAAGGAATTGCCATCACTGCATTTATTTCTGTCAGGCATCCACCCAAAATGCATGAGCGTGCTGCACTTATCAATATGTTCATACAGATCATGCTGTGATTTTATTTAGTATATTTCCTCATCCCTGCTGAAATGAATTCCTGGCCATAACACTTGTACTATAACAGAGGAACTCGATGGGGTTATAGGGTTGTTTTTAATTTGCATATTCAAATAGTCTAGATTTCTGGTGGACAGTACGTGCCTGTTTTCTGTTATCCGATATTTTTTTCTTTGTGGAATCACCACTTTAATTTATTACACAATATTTTAAAAATATGATCGTTAGAGGAGGTCTTTGGTCACTTTGAAAAATGCATGCCTGAAATGTATCCCCAGTATAACTATAAATGTGGATTACAGTACCTGCGAGGAGAGGAGAGGGAGAAGCCTAATATTTCAGAACAGCTCTTCACCCACATATGACTTTATGATGCCAAGGTCATGAAGCGCTCTTGATGACATTGTATAACTATATCTCATTCGAGTGCTTCACTATAGATCATTTTAACTCTCATTATTCCCCTCTCGTGATAGCGAGATGTCACAAATAAACTGCATGCTGGAAAGAACACTCCTGCCATAATATAATCTCATAAGTAATATCAGGAATATTCAACAGGCTAATAGATACAGGACTTACTGTCACAAGATAATATTTTTTCATTCTTCCTGTGTTCTCCCTCCCCTCTTTCTCTCTGCAGGCTATTTTCAGAAGGACGTCTCAATGGTGCCATGCAGCAGAGGTCTGATTGGGGTTTTGTGTCCCGTTCAGACCCTTACAGCGCTGGCACTAGCCCCCCTGAGGGGCATGGGGGGGGGGGGGGGGGGGGGGGGGGGGGGGGGGGGGGGGGGGGGGGGGGGGGGGGGGGGGGGGGGGGGGGGGGGGGGGGGGCGTTGCATTGCCATGGCGACGGTCATGAGCACGACAGGAAGAGAAGG